AATGGAATATTATAGTTACGAACCATACGATAACGAGTTTCTATAGCTGGCAGCGCTCGTAGCAGAGTGGGTAAGGTACTGGACTCATATGCAGGAGGTCGAGGGTTTAAATCTCTTTATTGGAAAATGTTTTTTTTTTTTTTTTTTTTTTTTCAAAATTGTGAAAGAAGAAAATTCAAAGTAAAATGAAAATAGAATTAAAATTTGTTTAAAAATTAATTGCTTGAGAGCGTGAGGGAGAATGGTCGGCAAAGGTGTGCAGAAGAGTAACACGGCATGGTTGGCAGATATACATATAGAGCTCGTCGTTGGCTCAGTGGTAAGCATGCTAGCCTCCGAAACAACACAGCTCAAGGGGTCGTGGGTTCAATTCCCGGTTGGGGTACTCAGATTTTTTCTGATGGTTCTTGCTGGGTATCGAATTCATGAAACCGACTTAGGATTAAGATTTAGTTTTTAAGATGAAAAGAAAAATAATAAAGCGATTGAAAAATAATGAATTGTGACCTGCGTGACCGGAAAGATATAAAAAAGATATGATATGCGAATAAATAAAAGAACGAAAATGTAATGACAAGCGAAAATTAGAGAAATGTATAATGACACGATGTAAAAGCGACATGTTAAAAAGACAATGTAAAGTGTTGTATAAATAAAGACAGTGTACATACCCATAGTAGTCAGTACACTATAATATAAAAAAAAAAAAAGATATACATATATAGTGGGGAGAGATGAAGTGTATGGAGAACAGAAGGTGAGGGGGACAGAGTAAGGGGAGAAACTTGGGAGGAAGAGACTCCGGGTAAACCACTTTCGTTTCAAAAAAAAAAAATCTGTCGGTTCTAAAATTCCAGCCCCCCGAGTAACGTGACATAAAGAACTTCGTTCTAAAAAAAGTATACATTATTCTCTAATTTACCTCTAACTGATTGCTGATTTTATCCTATCTGCATTAATTATGAAGACATGCTGATTTATTTTGTCGTACTCGATTAAAAAATATTTTTTGGACAGGAATTTTGAATAAAATACATGTACTTTCGATTAAACATCTGATATACGCATGTAGATATGATTTTTTAACATTTTCTTAGAAGGTATTTCAGCAATCATCTTATTATTCAATAATAATACAGCATTCGACATATTCTTATCCTATAATGAAATTTTTTCTGTTGAAAAAGTTTTTTTGCAACCATTAATTGAACATTAAAAATAAGTTTAATTTTTTTTTACAAAGTTTAGTGTCAATATCATAACTTTGTATATGTTTAAAAAAAAAAAATTTTGTAAAATAGGTCAATATACTAGTCTTATCATTGTATTTTATTGCTCAAAGATTTATAGTATGGGAATTCGAGTAATGAGGAAGTGAATTTAGTCCTACCATTAATTAATCATACATAATAAATTTACGACACTTTTACGTTAAAAGATTCAATAACATTAAAAAAATTAATTTCTAAGTTTTAGGAAGGACTTTTTAATGGTGTAAAAAACATTTTTAATCAAATAAATAGTTTCGTAAATGATATAATTTATAATTAGACCAACTGAGTAAGTTGACACTTAATGAATATCAAAATTAAAGATAAGTTATTAATTATACTAGGGCAAGAAAAAAAGGTTAACCTATAATAGGGGTCGTTCGTAGCAGAGTAGATAGGGTACTTTAGTAGTGTGCAGAAAATTTCAGGTTTTATTTTTGAGAAATGCTTAATTTTTATTTAAGTTGAGTGTGGAATAGAAAAAAGAATTAAAAAATTTTTTTTTCTTTGCATATGCGCTTCAGTGGTGTGATGAAGTGCAGACGTATCAGTGAGATACAATAAAAAATTTACTTTAGTGACGATTTTTCTTCAGGTCATTAATCTGAAATTGTTAGTTTTTAAAATTTTAGTCTCCAATTTTACATAAGCTTTCATTTCCTATACAAAATTTATGACTTCTTGTTTCAGTTAGAGCAGTTGGAAGTAGGCTCACGCAGCGTGCAGAGGGGTAAAGCTCTACTAGTATACATATTAGTATAATACAGAATTATTATAAATGGAATTTAAGGTAAAACATTTGACAATAAGTGAGAAGATAAGAGAGATGAATAGGAATATTAAATTATTAAATTGAAATACGTCTGTAATGAGCCGATCAAGAAAGTGCTAAAAAATAAGTAATGTTACTTCTGAATGAGTCTGATGAAGACTGTGGTTGTAGTCTTGCCTTAAGCAATTTTTTAACTTCTTAAGATAATAATATTTTTAATTCTAAACTGTACAAGCTACTTTAGAAAGAAAATATAAGTTTTTCGAAGGTATATAAAATGTTTTCAAATTTAATGTCTGACAACATAATAAGCAAATTCTATCGTTTTATATATTTATTTAACTTAAGGACAGAAGTATATTCAAATATGAGGTGTTTAAATAAATACTTTATTTTAGGTGCTACAAGGTAACAACATCATGACAATTCGTTATTTAAAAAAATGTATTGAGCAGTTGTCAGTAGTAGAGAAAGTTTATTACATTATGCTACAATTTTTTACTTTCAACGCTTGCCAGCTATAAAATCACACGTACTACTTATTTATAAAGCAAAGTCACTAAAACCGTTGTAACCGCTAACCATAAAAACTACTCAATCGATCTTGCTGAAGTTTTGCATCCAGATTCTTGACACTTCCTTAATAGTTGTAGCATAATTTTTATATAAAAAAAGTTAGTAACAGTAGTCATAAGCCAGCTTAAAGTTTTGTAAAAACACACTAGCTTTTCACTAACGTTTAGTAGGATTTACTAGGTGGCGTGAAAGTTAGGTCAGAGCTCCCTGCAATAGAACTGAGTAAGCCTAGTTATTGAATCCCCAACGAAAGTACCGAAGCACCACAGTCGATCGTCGGCAGCGTATGAAGTATATAGCTAGAAGTCGTATTGCTGGGTAGATCTGTTGCCGTCAACACTGTTCTCTAATGGACTAGCCACTTACGTCGAACTCCATGCTAAACTACCAAGATTGACGAGTATCGCCAATGAAAAGACTTTCTGCGTGCAAAAGTCTCTGGCGTCGTACGAGGAGGCGTATAGCCAGAGCACAATATGCTCTGGCAATTTAGGGTTTCATGGCCATTATTTTGAACGACCTGGTGCTATCAGAGCAAATTTAGTTACAACAGCATGCCAGGAAAAGTACAACCCCAAGGAGTTTGGGCAGCCTCCTTCTTAATGGTCGTCCTAACGGTATACCCACAGAGAAAGAATTCTCTCCAGGCCCACTTTTCTGGCTTACATAGAGCCGTTGGTTGTCTAGGGAACGACCTAAGGATAAGATATTCTTTGGTCAGTGCTATACCTCTCTCCAGTATAGTCTTCGTACACAGAGACTCCGAGTGTAAAAGTGAAGTTACCCACAGCCAGCGCTTAATCATTAACCATTTTAAGCAATAATTCGTCGACTCAAAGAGAATATAAAGCCAGCCACTATTAAATGAAGTCAGTCATTCACTGGAAGACGTCAGGAGTGGAGTTTTTCATCACAAGGCTGGGAGTCCCAGCGACTGACGACCCTATATTACTCTCATCTCTGAGAATTCTAGCAGGAGTCAGCAATTTTCTCTGAGTTCTGCACTGGGAAAACCTTATACCTATGAATAAGAAAGAAACTTAAGCAAACAGGTTAGTTTTCAACAGGTAAGCACAGCAAATCCATTTCCTTACCTGAGATCACCCAAACATCTGAGTCTACAAAAAAAGTGCTTTAGACACTAACGTTCTTGGCGTAATACCAGAAAATGTTGGGAAAATGTCTTACAATTAGCTTCAACGCTTTAAATGATGTAGTTTTTCTCCTGACTAGTCTTGTGCAACAATAAGAGGCTAGAGAAGATGACCCTGAGGTAAAGAGGCAGTCATGTTTGCTGGAAACTTCTATTAATGAATAGTTTACCTAAAAAGCTCACTGTTTCTTTTTAGGGCCATCGGACGTTGAACTGCTTTGCTAACTAATACATAAGGACTTAACAAAGATAACAAAAGAGAGCCCTAAGGAATCACAGCAGTCCTAATCATGCCAAAAGTTGCAAGATGGCAAATTGGAAGAAAAACTTTAAATGCATCTAATGTATACAAGTTTTATGCATCAAGAAACTGATGCAGTCCATTAATGGAGAATAAAGCATCAGCATTAAAATTGACAAATAAGAACTGATTAAGTAAGGAGCCATCTTTTTATCATAAGCCTAACAGTTATCTTTTAAATTTTCTAGATTCTTGAATATGTATAATTTTTACTTGTATATCGATGGTAATAAAAATTAAAGACATTAGGCTCCAGGACTTTGTTGCTTTAGTGATAAAGTTTTGAGATAAAAGAAAAAACTATAAAAACTATATATCTTTTGTCAGCTTTGAATCTTTAGAACTTTAAGAAATACCCTTTTTTTAGATTATACGAAAGAAACTGCAAATCCATGGTCCTTCATGGCATTAGGAACGCACGTTACTTTTCAGCATAATTATTATTTTTTCTCTTTTTTCTTTTATTATATAACTGAATAATGTGTATGGATTCCAAACACATATATTTCTTAAAAGAAAATTTTTGTTTTGAGAAGTGTAGATGTAAAATTTTTAACTAAGAACGTTTCACATTACAGTCAACACTCTCTGGTGTTTAATTAAGTGAGTCTTGGCTGAAGCTGAAACAGAGGGACTGCGATTCTAGAAATAAGCCATAGAATAAAGATATAATTCAAATAAAGATTTGATATAGAGTGCCTATATAGGCTATGATGGGATGTTGGTAACCACACCTCTTTAGAATGGCAGAACTTCCAATTCAAGTCTCAGGTGTAGTAAAACTTTTCTTAACACTCTTTTTCTCTAACTGCCTTAAATGTTATAACTTCTTAAAAAGTTGGTAAGTATGTAAGGCTAGTACTCCTTTAAGTCACTTAGCAATAAAACTGTTCTATTGTTCTTCAAAGTTTTATAAATGATACTCACCTCATTAGGCTTGTTGAGTAGGCATACTTCTTTTCCATCCATCAGTGCACTTATATAATCTGCTTTGCTGCAATCTGAGAATTTATATGGTTGCACATTATCTAATCCAACAATTGATTGAGCCATAATGCAACCATGCCAATCGTTACATCGACATTCAGATCCTAAAAATATCAAATTTTAAGTTTTGAATGTATAAACATAGGTATAAAAAAATAAGGTAAGAGACAGGGAGACGATTCTCGATGGATAATGTAACAATTCTTAATATATTTGTCACAAGATGTATGCTCATGACGTGAAGTGTTTCCACTAAAATTCAGACTTTTGTCTCTCGTAGTGAGATTTTGCAAGCTGTGTCAAGATCTAATTATTATGTGATGTTGTGTTACCTTTGTAGTTTAACGATTTGAACCTTATGTGAATATATGGTACATAATGAAAAATTTTATTTTATCTCGTCGTAAATAATATATGGTAGTGGCAATTCGGTATAAGTATTTAATAAGTATTGGAAAACTAGCAATAACAGTAACTTTTTCAGTGTGTATGTAATAATACTAATGACATTTCAGGATCATGGAACTTGTGTCAATTTTTTCATATACATATTTGTAATTACTTTCAACAACTTTAACTGCCTTTTTTTTGTAGTAACAAGTTACTTAAGAAATTGTATTTGTTTCAGACAATCGTAAACAAATATAGATATTGCATTTTTCTTTGCATTTATTAGTGTAAGAAAATTCTGGGTGACAAAATAGTAATCTAAAAAAATTTTTTAACAAGAAATCGAATGATGGTGGATATTAAAAAATAGTTTAGTAGACACTTAAAAACTTGTTTGTACTTTACATGTATATACATATCTTTTCTTCATAGTTGAAATTCACTGTAAGATTTGATAAGTTATAATGATATAATACAAAAAACAAGTGTACCAATGATTAAGAATTGATAATTAAGGTATTTATTACATTAGTTAGACAAGCAAGCAGACGATTTCAATAATTTATTGGTGAAGTTATTATTTTTGAAGATTAATTCTCACATAAAAAAGTGTTATTTATTCTATCGATATACGTTTTAGTGCTACTACTGTTGTTAGTTAGCAAAATTACTGAAAATAAGTACAGGTTCAGTAATATGATTTTTTTGACTCCCACCACATCCATCTGTTTGTTATTAAAATAGCATTGAGAGAATGATACTTATATCCATAGAATCAATAAGTTAACTGACGATACAAAAATTTGTGTATAAAAGTACTTAGTAACATTAGTACTTAATAATTTTAAATTAATTATTATGTTGATTTATAGAGCTCTATTAGTAGCTGAACGCTAACACGCTAGGCGTGTTCGACAGTTCTACCTTGAATTGTTGCATTTTTCTAACCCTGCTACTTCCCTCTATATATTACAGTGATTCATAGGTAACTGGCTGGTGTCAATTGCTAACGCCCAGCTTACATTATCTTATACAAATAGATATAAAACCGTTCACCTGAAGATCAAAGGTCACTGTGGTCTTGTAACCGACCTCATACGGTTACTTCAACAGTTCAAGTTTCTTCCGTCCAACAAATCAGTGCTCATCTAGCATACATACAGTCAATACGAAACATATATTACATATGTTGATTTAAACTATACAGCAGTCACAAGGCAACCCTCACTTGTCAGACCTGATATCCACCTGCACTCTAACCCTTCTTACAAAGATAAGGATTCTGTTGACAACGGTATGGTCCATAAAAAAATTTTCCTACAGCAATTTGTCATAGATTTAAATGCTAAAGATTCCTTGCAAAAACTAAAACTAGAAAAATAAGGCTCTACGTGAAATAAATGGTTAAAAAAAAAGTATTCCAGTATTCAAAGTTATAAGACAATTTTTAGAATAAAAGTTTTTTTTTAAATCTTGTCTGTAATCATTTTTTACCTTCTAAATCTCATGAATATTATTAAGTTATAAGCACTCGCATACTATGTCACAAACCATCTAATATATTTTAGTTTCTTACAAGCAAAAATATACTTTTAATTTTTTTTCTTTTTAGTTTATGAAACAATAAGCATTCACAAATATTACTTATCACAAAAAAATAAAAATTTACGTAAATGATATAGTTATATTTATGAGGACTCAGAAAAATTGCTTGATCTGTGTTATAAAATAATTAAGATTTTTTAAATTTATTTAAGATTTCATTGTTAGAGAAAAATGATGGTTATTAAATGTATTTACATTATCATTTTCTCTGAGTTCTGCACTGGGAAAACCTTATACCTATGAATAAGAAAGAAACTTAAGCAAACAGGTTAGTTTTCAACAGGTAAGCACAGCAAATCCATTTCCTTACCTGAGATCACCCAAACATCTGAGTCTACAAAAAAAGTGCTTTAGACACTAACGTTCTTGGCGTAATACCAGAAAATGTTGGGAAAATGTCTTACAATTAGCTTCAACGCTTTAAATGATGTAGTTTTTCTCCTGACTAGTCTTGTGCAACAATAAGAGGCTAGAGAAGATGACCCTGAGGTAAAGAGGCAGTCATGTTTGCTGGAAACTTCTATTAATGAATAGTTTACCTAAAAAGCTCACTGTTTCTTTTTAGGGCCATCGGACGTTGAACTGCTTTGCTAACTAATACATAAGGACTTAACAAAGATAACAAAAGAGAGCCCTAAGGAATCACAGCAGTCCTAATCATGCCAAAAGTTGCAAGATGGCAAATTGGAAGAAAAACTTTAAATGCATCT